GATGAAAGATTTGACAAAAGACGAATATCATGGGATAATAGCCAGGCCAAATTGCTTGATTCAGGCTTCAGAGTAGCTCAGCTGCTTCCAAAGACTATGAAACAGAGAGGGTACATTAATTTCCTCAATGTGGCAATATATCAGGTCCCAGTCTTTTTCATCAGACCTGTTTGGTCTCTGGCTTTGAGCTATCTCAATCTGAGAAGTTGGCTGATCCTACAGCATTCACTTGACAAGAGGTTGCTGACTGCACAGAACAAGGTTTTCTGGAATGATTAATGATACTTCAGAAACTTCTGATCCAGGGAGAAAGACTGTTGCTGCTGCTACTGGTAGACAGCTGTTTAAAGGGAGCAGTAAGAGAAGCCTCATTAACATATTAATATGATAAAAGATGTGGCCTGGGCTGGCATAAGTTAACTGCAAATATCTTTCATAACCAACCATTGGTGGTTAAATAGAAGTAATTTTTACTCCTATTGGGTCCTTGGTTACCAAGCAAACACATACACATCACCTGAAAATATGGACATGTTGATATTTTTGGATAACAATTCCACTTTTGAAATGCAGGAATGATTCTGGAGAGGAAAATGAGGCAGAAGTATGTCATCAAGACTGTCAAGAAAATATTCCTTTACAACACAGATCTAATGTATATACTCAGCTGTACCTTTTGCATATACTGGGATAGGTGGGTCTAAGCCTGCCCAAAATTAAAGATCCAACCTCTCAACCAAGGGGAAGGGTGGGCCACAGGCCCTATACAGTGATTAATACACTCAGCAGTAATGCACAACATCTGAAGTGCTGTTTAATGCTAACCACTTGTAGCAGCTTGTCATGTATCTCATGCATTTGGAATCTTGGCTGAGCCTGGTTAAACCTGCACAAAGATAAGAGGGGCTGCTTCTCAACCGCCTTCCATTCTATGTAGTCATTCACACCTGTGCAAAGGGGGTGTACAGTTGATGTAAAATGAGGTGTCGTTAAACCCACTTTGTCATGGCTTTACACAGGGGCAAATGTCATAAGGTGCAAGGCAATGGGGAATCAGGTCCACAGCTTCTATGTCTTAGGGGGGCAGTGAGACTGCTACTTTTGTGTGTGAAGTAACAACACCTGAAAGTTTTAGTGACCTCGGTGCTTTTAGTATGCGTGACAAACTTGCCATGACAACAAGAAGTCAGAAGCAATATATATGGCAGGTTAAGCCATGTACTATGACCAGAAATTGTTAGGCGAAATGTCCTTGGACTGCTGTCTGATTGAAAAATCAGTTAAAAGCTACCAGACTATTGGCTTGGTCACTGCATGAGCTCACTACTGCTCTTCTCTGAACGATAGGTCTTTTGATGAGCTCAGAGAGAAGAACTATTATGCAATTTACCATTACCTCCCTCACAATAGTTGGTATAAAGGCAAATGGCTGGCAAAAGACCAACAGCAAATTTGGGCAGTAATCCCTTTATTCTCCTGCTGTGTGGTTATGAGGTAGAACCTGCCCCTGCATTTGGCTATGTAGGGACCACTTGATCTTGTTCAGTGAGCTCCCTGACAACACTCTCAAGAGCCTGGCATTATATGGTAATTGTCATCAGGGCCAGCTCCAGGCACCAGCCCACCAAGCATGTGCTTGGGGCGGCGCCTGGAGGGGGGCGGCGCGGCGGGGCGCTCTGGCCCGAGAGCGGGGCCGCGACTGGGCTCGCCGCCCTCCCCGCGGCACTCCGGCCGGTCGGGGAGAGCGGAGGGCCCCGGCCGGGCTCGCCGCCCTCCCCCCGGCGCTCCGGCCGGTCGGGGAGAGCGGAGGGCCCCGGCCGGGCTTGTCGCCCTCCCCCCGGCGCTCTGGCTGCCGGGGAGAGCGGAGAGCCCCGGCCGGGCTCGCCGCCCTCCTCCTGGCGCTCTGGCCGCCGGGGGCTCTCCGCCCTCCCCCCGGCGCTCTGGCCGCCAGGGAGAGCGGAGCCGCGGCGGGCTCGCCGCCCTCCCCCCGGCGCTCCGGCCGGTCGGGGATTGCGGGCCTGCGGCCGGGCTCGGCGTCCTCCCCTGCCGCGCTGGGGGGGTGGGGTGGCTTTTTTGCCTAGGGCGGCAAAAAAGCCAGAGCTGGCCCTGATTGTCATGAGTGGAATCTGGGACTCTACCATAGGGAAATGGGAGTGCAGAATACCTTATGAGGTATTCCACATCCAGCAAAAGAAGAGAAGATTGCCTCTACAACAGCAATTTTCAACCCGTGGTTTCCACAGAGGTCCACACCTCCATTCAAAATTTTTTAGGGGTCTGCAAATGTAAAAAGGTTGAAATCCACTGCTCTACAACATAAAAATTAGTACCACAACTGCAGAGAGTAGAAGGCCTGTGGAACTGTTATGGGCTAATAACCTGGGAAGCTTTTTCTGCCAAATCACACTCTAAATGTGGTTTCCAGTTTTCCCATTCAGAAAATTGTGTTGGTGTCTGTCACTTTGTAATTCTAAATAGCAGGGGGCTGAGTTAAAATTCCAATGATTATGATCTCCCAATGTCTAGGTAACTAAATACATGTTGACACACCATGTCACAGGAGTTTTTAGACCTTAAATGCTCTGTGATTTGCACTGTTTATTTAGATAGAAGTTAAATGGTTTGAAATTAGCACCTGAATAGCATCCCTTCTATAGCCTGAAACAGATTATATACCCCTGAAAGGTCTAAATTTAACTGCCAGGTATAATGAAGGAACCCAGAGGAATTTACTGTTAATACCCTATATGTATCTTATTTACAATGTAAGCCATTCAGGACAGGGATCCTGTTTCCTTATACATCTATAAAGCACCATGTATGGTAGTGGCATTTTATCATAATAAATAATAGTATATAATCTTTTGCAGATTTTAATATCTGATCTGTCATGTAGGCAATTTATGGTATAATAAAAGTAAATTAATACATACTATTAATATTTTGCACTTTTTTACTGTCTTTCATTGAAAGATTTCAATGTGCTTTGCACATAAGATCTAGTCTGCACTTGAAAGTGTTTCTAATTAAGGAAGGGTGTGAAATTTAAAGTGCAATGGCTGTTCCTGAATAGCTCCATGTGTGGACACTCTTATTTTGTTCCCATCTAGCTTTGAAAGTGCTTTTGGCTAATGGGAACAAGGCACTCTTACTCTGGAATAAGTATGTCCGCACGTGCAATTAAATGGGAGCAACTTCATGTGTCGACAAGCCCTAACAAAGCCTCATAAAATATTTCTACGTATTATTGTACCTATTTTACAGATGGTTGAACTGAGGAACCAAATTTGGGAATCAATAGCAGACCCCAGAAGTCCTGAAACTCAGTTTCCTATCTTATCTAAATTAACATATATTATGGCCCAGATTTTCTGGCCCAGCTGCAGCTGGAGAGGCACAGGACTGCGGATCGGTGGAAAAGGTGACTTTACAGCATCAACTTTGCATTCCCCGAGTCCTGGGGCCAACAGAGGGTCTGACCAACCCCTGAAGCCCAGCTGCTAACAGCTCCAAGGAGTGATTCCAGTGGCCAAATATAGCTAAGGAAGAGGGATGACTCAGCTGTGCTCCTTTTTACTGGCCATGTCCTCTTTGCTGGGGAGCAGGTGACCAAAAGCTACTATGATGGATCTAATCTACACCACCCAGGGATTCCACCGAGGAAAGAGGTCTCCTAAGGAGGGATTTTTCAGCAGACTTTTCAACTGTTTTGCACTGCTTGGATGATGCAAAACAATCATAGTGGACCTATGAGTTAGGCTAGATCTACACTGGGGGAGGGGGGGGTTCGATTTCGTGTAGCTGAATTCTACATATCCTATTCGACTTACCCCGCTGCGAGGATGGCGGCAAATTGACTGCCGCGGCTCCCCCGTCGACAGCGTTTACTCCTCCTGACGAGGTGGGAGTACGCGCGTCGATTTGGGGATCGATTTATCCGTCTAGATGAGATGCGATAAATCGATCCCCGAGAGATCGATTTCTACCCGCCGATCCGGGCGGGTAGTGTAGACTAGCCCTTAGGGCCTGTATCTATATAAATCTACATGCACAAAATAATCTAATAGCTTGTATCTTAAATAAAATGCACAGTGCTGGAGAAAATACTTGTTTGTTGTAAAGTCACAATACATGCCACATATTATACACAGATATTTCCAGTCACAGAAATTCATCTGTTATATTCAGCCATATTAATTGCATATAATGTCTGTGTCAAGTTTCTGTGACTTAAATGAAGGAAAAAGAAAACCCCATTTAATTATCTCTGGGCTAAAGCTAAAGGAAGTTTTCCCTGAGTATAGCTTAGTAGAGATAATACTTTTATTAATTTAGAAAAAAATTTTGGCTCTTAGAACTGTGTTGCTTATATCTAGTTAAATGCCTGGCATGAGGTTATGTCCTTAATTTAGAATCTTATCTTAAATATGAATATAAAAAATGTGACAGCTTGTCAACAGACCAGAAAAATCATGTTTTCTATTTAACTGACACTCACTGCTTCACCTTATGGACATTAGCCATTAATCACCTCTCTGAATTCTCTTTCATTTAGTTGGAATCTGTTCTGTACATAGCTATACATGTTATGTTGATAAAATCATGTAGTGTAATTTGGACATAAAAAAATCCAAGGAGTCCATATAAAATTCAGGTTACTGTACACTGGCTTCTGCAAGTATGGAGACTTCTCTTTTCTACTTTTAAATCATGCTGCAGAACATTCTCTTCCTTTTTCTAAATCTGATTGCATTTCAGTGACAAAAATATATAGAAATGATTCTGAACTGAGATACAGATTTTGTGTTGAATTTAGTGAGGATACTTAAAAGAGAGAACTCTTAGCTTGAAGCTACAGTCATCATGTGTTTGCATAGAGATAGCTCCCTGTATCTGTCTCTATCTCTCTCCCTCTTTGCTGCTATATTTATCAGCCTTCCTGGCCATAAAAGGTCTGGACTGTGGCTCTGACATTCCACTGACTACAGGCATTATTTTTGTTCTGGACCTTGGAGTCCAGTTCTTAGCCCCGGTCCTGACACCTCTTTGCTGGATTTAATTTTGCTGGATTTTTCTCTCTATCATTCATCCACTTCAGGACTTTTATATTTGTCATTGTTCATTTGGCAACTGGTAAGTGTTCCATTTAGACAGGAAATATTTCTAACTTGTAAGCTCTCTTTATTTTGAATCTGTACTCTGGATTGATGGTAGCTCCCTTTAATCTTTTGAGCTCAGCAGTTAGTTAAGGGAGTTGTGGTAACAGGTTGGAGAAATCTGAAAGTGTAGCTGCAGAGACAAAGCCAATCCGTACAGGGGCTCAGTTATTATCAGCTCAGCTATCCGAACAGATAGCTATAGGACTTTTCAAACGATGCATGAGTTATTAGAGGTACAGGAGACTTTTGTTGTATAAATTCCTCTTGAATGAGAGAAAGTGTAAATAATCTTCTAAATATTTTCTAATTGTATGGGATTTATGGTGAATTCGGAAGCAGATGAAGTGACACTGACTAAGCTCAGAGGAAAATCTGATATTTTTTCCTCTGTCAACATTTTTGTTTTTCTATTTCAATATTTTTTAAAAAAGGATTTTGAGTAGATTTTTACAAGCACAAACTAGTCATACTTACTACTATCTCAATGGATAGGTTACAAATAAAATATTTCTATAGTATATTTATATTGTTCAAATAAGTACAGAATATATGGACCCAAAAGCTGTACCTGTGGGTACCTATGATATGGACCATTGGCCACCCATGGCTAGGCTAGGCTCTGCAGTCACAAAAGCATATACAAATTCCAAGGGGAAATGCTACCCTCACACATAGCTGGGTACTCTCAGGATGTACTGAGCATGTTATAAAAATTAAGACATAGGACTCAATCCTACTCCACTGAAGCCAAAGACAACACTCCCATTGATTTCAGATTTTTTTGTGGGCTTTCAAAGGAACATAAGAATTGCCATATCAGATCAGACTAATGGTTCCTCATGTACGGTAACCTGTTCCTACCAGTGGTCATTACCAGATTCTCAGAGGAAAGTGTAAAACCCTTATAATGGACAATTATGCAATAACATGCCTAACATTAGTTTCTAGCTAATGTCAGGCAATTAGCAGTTGGCTTATGTTCTGCACCATGAGGCTTGATATCTCATGTAAGTTTGTATACTAGTTAGTGTAACTAACTAGTTAGTGCATATTCGTATCTGTATAAATGTATAATCTTTCTAAGAATCCTACTGAGCTCTTTGCTACAGTGATTTCTTGTGGCAGTGAGGTTCATAAGTTAATTAAGTATTGTAGAAAAAAGTGTTTCCTTTTAAAAATGTTAAATATGCTGACTTTAAATTCACTGACTGTTCTCTTGTTCTTATCTTCTAAAAATGTACATAGGAATGCCTGATTTAACTTCTCTCTACTATGCATTTTATTTTATACTCTTCCATCATGCCTCCTCTTATTTTGTCTTGTTCTCTAAATTAATCAGTTCTAGTCTTTTTAATCTCTCCTCCTAAGGAAGTCTGTCTAATCATTTTAATTGTCCTGCTCTGGACCTTTTCTGTTTGTTTCATATCCTTTTTGAGATTGGTTGACGAGACTCAACGCTGAAATATTCAAGATGAGGGCGTACCATAAGCAACAGGAACAACGCAACTGCTAGTATCCAGAATGAAGCTTGCCAGTGCTGGAGACAAAGCTGGTGAAGATGAATGGGGATCAGATGTAGCACTCTCTACGACAGGAAATCAGAGTGTCTTGCTTCCTTTTAATGTATAGAGCAAGACTCATCTCTTTGCACTAGCCTGTCTTCTGTGGACATGGATTCACTCTGGCTGGCAAGCCCTATCCCTATCTTTGTGTCGGGGAATGAAGATGATGAAGGTGTAGAAGAAGAAAAGAATAAGACTTAGGGCATGTCTTCACTACCCGCCGATCCGGCGGGTAGCAATCGGTCTATTGGGGATCGACTTACCGCGTCTAGTGAAGACGCGGTAAAATCGATCCCTGATCGCTCTGCCGTCGACTCCGGAAATCCACCTCGGCAAGAGGCGGCAGCGGAGTCGGCGGCAGCGCGGCAGCGGTCGACTTTCCCACGTCCTCACCGCCAGGTAAGCCGACCTAAAATACGCAACTTCAGCTACGGTATTCACGTAGCTGAAGTTGCGTATCTTAGGTCGGACCCCCGCTGTAGTGTAGACCCAGCCTTATACTACAGTGATTATTGCTATATGAATAAGAAGACATATAGTTTATACCAGCAGTTCTCAAAGTGGGTCGTGACCCCATTTTAATGGGGTCACCAGGGTTGGCGTTAGACTTGCTGAGGCCAAAGCCAAAACCCGAGCCCCACTGCCCTGGGCCAAAGCCTGAACCCGAGGGCTTCAGCTCAGGTTATGGGGCTCAGGTTACAGGCCTTGCTGCCTGGGATTGAAGCCCTTGGGTTTGGGCTTTGGCCTCGCCAGCCTGGGCCAGTGGGGCTTGGGGTTTGCGCCCCCCCCACCAAGGCGGCGGGGCTCAGGTGAGTTCAGGCTTTGGTCCCCCCTCCTGGGGTCGTGCAGTAATTTTTGTTGTCAGAAGGGGGTTGTGGTGCAATGAAGTTTGAGAACCCCTGGTTTGCACATATCAACCTCCTTCTTGTTGAAAATTGAGTTTATTCCTAGTCTTTATTTTCTTTCTTATAACAAGTTCCAACTGCAAGATAGAAGTTAATCTCTCACCCCATAACTAATTATTTAATTGCCTCTTATGAGGGACTTCAAATATTTTTTGAAAGTCCAAATAAAATATACCTTCTGGTTTTCTTTTATATACTACCATAACTCATTGGGTCCTTCATGGAAGTCTAACAGATTAGAGAGGCGTGATTTTCCTTTACAGAAACCATCTGGTTTGTCCCTATCCTATCATGCTCATTTAGCTATTTAATAACTCTGTCCTTCATTTTTTGGTTACCTGGTGTCCAGTTTACCTTGTACTGGCTAGCTCTTTGGTCTGTCATTTACAGGATCACACGTAGCATCTTTTTAAAAGATAAATATAATATTGGCTACCCTCCAGCCCTTTGATATAGCAGTTTATTTTTTTAATGATAGTTAAGAACTCTTGAATGAATATTCCACAGTGCTGCTATATAATTGCAATTTAAATGATCATTTTGGTTCTAACACATCTTCTTTTGATACCTCAGAGACCCGTAACAGAAGATAAACTATAACTGTAAAAATGTATGATGAAATTAGGAAGGTTAAGAGGAACTATGAAGAGCAAATTGCCAAAGACATAAAAATGAATAAAAAAAACTTTTAAGGTATATTAGAAATGGGGATCCTGCACAAGAGTTAGTGGGATCACTAGATTTCCAGGGGTAAAAAGAGCAGTCAAGAAAAATAAGGACATTGGAGAGAAGCTAAGTGATTTGTTTGCATCAGTTTTCATCAAAGAGGACAATAGGCAGGTGTCTCCCCAGTGCCACATTTTGAAGGTAAAAATGAAAACGGGAGTGAAATTCTAGCCCCAGTGAAGTCAATAGCAACACTGTTATTGACTTCAGTGGGACAGGTTTAAACCCAAATATTTAATGACAGTTGAGAACTTTTGAAAGAATACTCTACAATGCTGTTAACTTTGCCATTGAAAATTATCAGTTTTGTTATCAGGACAATGTAGCTGTGAGTCTTTGGCTAAGTTGTATCAGTGAGCATAGGAACATTAAAACTCTATTCATTTTTCATAGTTTGATTTAGTCCTGGGGATTACTTGGTTGACTCCAGATCAGAACAGGATTTCTGAACCCTATGAATGATGTGAGTTTCCTGAACCCTAAGAAAATTGTATGAAGATTGTCCTAAGTGCATTGATTTGACTTAAGGAAAAGTTTTAGGTTTTATATTATTTGTTAATTCAGAGGTTTCCCTGAGTTGAGTTTTCATCCGTTTAATCTATTCTTTTTCAGACGGTGCACACCTTAGCATTTCCAGGCAGAAAAGTGCAGTGGACAGTGAGTTAGGAGGCACCATGATGGCTTTACCTTTCTACCAGAAACATCACCAACACTATGACCGTGCGTACCGCCACAAAGAGCTGCAATCCACTCTGAGCCAGTACCAAAAGGAGGAGAAGCGTAAATCGGCTGTCTACAGTCATGGGTCTACAGCCTACACTCATGGATCTGCCGCCTACCGCCATGGGTCTGCAGCAGCCTACAGTCATGGATCAGCAGCCTACAGTCATGGATCAGCAGCCTATGGTCACGAGTCTGCAGCCTACGGTCACGAGTCTGCAGCCTACAGTCATGGATCTGCAGCCTATGATCATGAATCTGCAGCTCACAGTAGGAGATCTGCTGCCTATAGTCTTGGATCAGAATCCCTCAGTAAGAGGTCTGCTGCCTACAGTCTTGGATCTGAAGCCTACAGTCACGGGTAGGACAAAACACTGCCATATTGTTGGGGCAATGGTGGGGAAAACTGTTTGCTGAACCTGCCCCCCTTAGATCAGAGTCAACGCTCCTATTGACCTCAACAGGAGCAGTCACTGTAATCAATAATGTTAATATATTTTCCATACTTACTGCTTTCAGTTAGTTCTGGGGAGGTGGAAGAAATTTAGTCCACTTGTTGGAAGTACTGTGGTGATGGGCCCACTATAGGAAGAACATAGATAACTAGATAGCTTTTCTAAGGTGCAGTGGCTGTGTTTTTACATTATATGCACAGTTCATATTAATGTTCAAATTGTCACACTGTAAATTGGTTGGGAAGCTTGGTATTTTCAAAGCAGAAACAACATGAAGTTTTTGTCAGGTGCAAGAAGAGCATGTCATAATTGACACTGAAATAATATAATAAAACATTGTCTAAACAATTAGATTAGTGGAATGTGCTAGATTTCCTGGCCTCAGGAACTTCAGTGATAATAAAAGGGTAGTATTAAAGCAAGATTAGTACTGCAGTTAGCAATAGAAGAAATGATCATCAAGTCATAGCAGAAAATATCTACTCTCAATTACATCAGCGTAAACTCATTAAAGTCACCAGTGTACTTGAGAGGAGAATTTGATCCGTTAGGCCAAATTCATGCTTGGTGAAACTCTTCTGATATCAGTGGAGTTACACTAGGGATGAATTCTACGCTCAGGTCAATAGAGTTACACCAGAGATAATGAATTTGGCCTAATGCATTTAACAATTTTCTTACAGAAACATAACCTTAATATGTTTCCAGTTATTATGAAGTTTTCATATGAGTAAATAGATTTGATTTTTATTTTAAGTCATATATATTATGATGGCTTCCAGGCTGCTCTATTTTAAATCAGTTGCCAACAGCTTTTAAAAGCCATACTAACCCCAAATCCAAACCCAAATATAGATCTAGATCAGAAAATTTTAAATAACCCCCATTCTTTTAATGGGCTGATGCATGACACTGGATTCTAAATACAAATCTAGATTTTAATTGTGTAGTTTAAGCCTATCTTGGGAAAAAATATGCCATTTGAATTTTGAGCTAAATTCATGGAGGATAGGTCCATCAATGGCTATTAGCCAAGATGGTCAGGGACACAATCCCATGTCCTTAAGACTCTCACTGCCAGAAGTGGGGACTGGCTGACAGGGGATAATTGCCCCGTTCTGTTCTTTCCCTCTGAAGCGTCCAGCACCTGCCACTGTCAGAAGACAGGATACTGGGTTAGATGGACCATCGGTCTGACTCAGTATGGCCGTTCTTATGTTCTTATGAACTTATGCTCGCATCAGTTCTTATTTTATCCAAACTGGATCCTTTAGACCAGTGCTTCTCAAAGTGGTGGTCCGCGGACCGGTGCCGGTCCGCGAGCCATCGGCTGCCGGTCCGCGGCGAGTTTCCTCATAAGAGCGTCGAATAGGATAATAATATGGCACCGGTCCCTGGCACATTGGAAAAAAAAAATGGCCAGTCCCCCACATCAGATAGCTTGAGAAGCACTGCTTTAGACTCTGTCATACTCAGTGGTGCAAGTAAAATCCATTTCTTGCTGGTACGGGGGGGGCACTAGCTAAGGGGAGCATGTGACCTCCCAACGTGACCATCCATGTGACTCCTGCCCACCCCAACCCCAGCCTGGAACCCCCATGCTCTCCCCGTCCCCTCCCCATGATCCATCCCACGTTACCTATGGGAGAGCGGGGGGCTCTGTCCTCCTCCTGCTGCGCCAGAGACTTTGGGAAAGGAGCAGAACATGGGGCCACTGGGTAGCCCCATGCTGGCAGCTCCTCCGGTATGGCTGTACCACCCCCAGCCCCACCCCCTGCCCTTCCACACAGCTGCATCTCCTCCGTCTGTATAGCAGCCCCGCAGGGGGCCGGGGCTGGAGGTGTACAGCTGTGCCAGAGAGGAGTTGCCGGTGTTCTGCTCCTTTCCCCACTGCAGTTCCTGGGAGAGCCCTGTGGTTCAGGGCCCTCCCAGGAACCACAACGGGGAAAGGAGCAGAACCCCCAGCCTCACCCTCTGCCCTTCCATGGAGCTGCATCTCCATCCTCCGTCCACGTACTACAGCAGCAGCCCCGCCAGAGGACAGGGCTGGGGGGCGGGGCTGGGGGCGGTACAGCTGCCGGAGGAGCTGCCGGCATTCTGCTCCTTTTCCCCGCTGCCCCTCCCTGCGGGGAAAGGAGCAGAACCCCCAGCCCCACCCCTGTCCTTCCACAGAGCTGCGTCTCCCACTGTACAGCAGCAGCCCCACTGGAGGACACGGCTGGGGGGGGCGGGGCTGGGGGTTCTGCTCCTTTCCCCACTGTGGCGGGGCAGCTGCTGTACCGATGGAGCTGGAGGAGAGGCAGTTCCGTGAAAGGGCTGGGGGTGGTGCTGGGGGTGGTACAGCCATGTCAGAGGAGGCGTGGGGCTGCCAACTCCTCCTGTGTCTTTCCGATACGCTGTACTGGCTATAAATAACTTGCTGGTACGGTGTACCGGAGTGTACCAGTGTACTTGCACTGCTGGTCATACTCGTAGGACCAGATTCTCACCCCTCCTGTGGCTTCTTTACACTGCCTCAGTAGCACAAAGCAGCCATATTAGAATTGGAAAAGGTACAGAGAAGGGCAATGAAAATGATTAGGGGTATGAAACAGCTTCCATGTAAGGAGAAATTAAAAAGATTAGGATTGTTCAGCTTAGAAAAGAGATGACTAAGATAGGGATATGATAGAGGTCTGTAAAATCAGGAATGGTGTCAAGAAAGTGAATAAGGGAAGTGTTATTTACCCCTTCACATAACACAAGAACCAGGGGTCACCCAATGAAATTAACAGGCAGCAGGTTTAAAACAAATATAAGTAAGTACTTCTTCACACAATACACTGTCAACTTCTGGAACTCATTGCCAGGGGAGGTTGTGAAGGCCAAAAGTGTAACTCGGTTAAAAAAGAATTAGATATGTTCATGGAGGATAGGTTCATCATTGGCCATTAGAAAAGATGATCAGGAATGCAACCAAGGCTCTGGGTGTCCCTAAATCTCTGACTGCCAGAAGCTGGGACTGGATGACAGAGGATGGATCACTCGATAGTTGCCCTGGTCTGTTCATTCCCTCTGAAGCATCTGGCACTGGCCATCGTTGAAAGGCAAGGATACTGGGCCAGATGGACCACTGGTCTGACCCAGGATGGCTGTTATGTTTTCATGTTCAGAAAGCATTACTACAGGGGCAGCCAAGGATTCCTATGCTACCTGCATCCCTCACTTTGTGTAGGGGATGTGTCAGGAAAGGTATACTGAGATGCAGAGTGGATTGCACAGCATTTGACCTGATCCCCAGATGGCCTGTCATGTAGGACAGTGGTTTTCAACCTTTTTTCATTTGCGGATCCCTAACAAATTTCAAATGGAGATGCAGACCCCTTTGGAAATCTTAGACAGACTGCAGACCCCCAGAGGTCCATGGACCACAGGCTGAAAACTAATGTAGGAGTCTCAGTGGTGCAGAAAGCATTCTCAGTGCATTTGGCATATACTGTAAAGAGTTTTGTGGCGCTGGATCATGCTCAGTGTAGATGGAATGCTTGTCAGTTTTAGCAGCACGCTTCTAATAAGCTCTGCTGAGTATGGAGAAATGACAATTTTCAGAGGCTTATTGACAGGGACCAGATCAGCTAGGACCAACTGCTGGCCTGCTCCCTGACTGACTTCACTGCTAGAGAGCCATGAGCCAATCCGCACTGCCTGGGAACTGACAGAGTGGCCACAGCCCCTGACTGGCTGCTGATTTAGAAGTCCTGCTTATAATCCTGGCCCTGACAGCAGATCAGCAGCTGCTCAACGCATACCATGCCTGCAGCTATGCTTGCCCTTGTTCCAGTCCCTGCTCCCCTCTGGCTTCAGACTTCTGGCTTCAATCCCCAGCTCTGCATGACTTACCACTCTGGTTGACCCTCCAGTTCTGGCATTTGGCTTCTGCCTTTCCAGTACTGAACCCTGGCTCCACCTCTGGCCAGCTCGGGCATTTGGCTTCTGTCCCTTCAGTACTGACTCTTGGCCTGTTTCCTGGACTCTGCCCATCCTGGACCCAGCTCTAACCGGTAGGCCGAACTCTTGCTTCCACCACTAAGCCTGAGCACCCATGGCCCAGTCAGCTATAGTTTGAGCAGCCCCGATACAAAGGCTAAGGACCCACATCGACGGCATGGACCCCACTCAGGCCAGTTTTTCCCTGGCGAAGCTGGTGGGGGCCCATGCAGAACTTGCAGGCGCACAATGCGGCCCTACAAGCCCAGGAGGCTTCACTATCAACCCTGGCTCTTGCCCGCCAGGTGCCAAAAGTCCCACTCCCAGACAAGTTTAGTGGTGATTGTAGTCAGTTCTGAGGTTTCCTAAATCAATTCAGGTTCCTCTTCTTGTTACACCCCCAATTGTTCCCCACAAAGCAGGCCTGAGTAGGGCTCATCATTAATCTGCTCACTGGGGAAACCTTGGCCTGGGCCTCCCGACTTGAAACAGTACATCCCCCTCCTGGGTCAGTTGGAGCAGTTCATTCAGGCCATGTTGGTTCTCTTCAGTGACCCCCACCACACCCAAACTGCTGAAGCTGTGCCACAAGCATTACAACAAGGGCGTCAATCAGCCACCAATACGCTGCCAAATTCCATCACCTTTCTGTAAACACCACATGGAATGAGACTGTGCAGCGTCGTCCATTTCAGATTGGGCTGAACGATGATATAAAGGATGCACTGATGTGGGTTGAGCTGCCATCCCGTCTCACAACCTGATCAACCTATGTATCAGAATTGACAACTGCCTTCATGAGCAGTGCCGTGAACTTGGCCCAACCCCGTGAGCCCTGACAACACCCAGGCCTTCCACCGCTCAACAATGCACCTGCTCCAGAACCCATGTATGTTGACTAGGCCCACCCAGGATATCACCTGGGAAGTCTCTGAAGCTC